TTTAAAAATATATATATATATTTTTTTAAAGAAAAAATTAACTTGTTCCTCTGACTGTTGCTAAGATCCGGTTGTGACTCTTAAGATAATACTAGTTCTTTAAGGTGTCCAAAAAAGCAAATGAGATCTCTTATCGCTTTTGGAGACAAAAGAAAAATCTCCCTGTTTGGCAAGGACATGTTATCCGAAGTCCCTGAGTGACAAGACTGGTTTTCACCCCAATTTCCTGTACCACCACCCAGGAGTCTCTGTATAGCACACTCCTAGTAGTATGGTCATGCCATCAGGGTGACTGCCATAACTGCCAGTTTCTGGACGGCATAACCTGCTTCTCATGCTTCCATTTACAAATCTTAATTAGCTTCCTCAGCTTTATATGTATATATCTTCTACATAAAGACATTCCTCTGATTTATACATTTGGAATATAGCCATGGGACTCAATTTGTGTCTGCTGCTTCTAGGCGAATGATCTGATTTGCGTCTTCTGGATTCAGATTTATTTCTCAATTAACACTTCTTGCCTGGCAATCTTTCTATTGGGTCCTCGGCTTCTGCCCAGAAAGTCTTAACAATGAGACTGGTCTTAATTAGCATCCCAGACCAAAAAAAAAAAATTTAGTGGAGGAAAAGGGATCCTGCCAGGGGGCCTTGCAGCTAGAATGGCAAAGTCGTCTTACCAGAATATGGGTTTCCATAGACAAGTCCAGGATTTTGTCCTGCATCTCCTTGATCTGAAGTAGGCACTTGATATGGCAAAGAGTCGAAATCCAGACCCATGTAACTCAGCAATCTGCTGTTCTCCCTCTTCAAAAGCTAAGGATAGAGTATTTATAGACATGTTGAAAGATAATGACAAAGAATGGCCACCAAGAACTGGCCAGGAGAGACCAATTACAGGTAGATCTCAATTAACAATGTGACACTGGAGAAGCCCAAAAAGGTTAATCCATAATTCTTCAACAGGGAAAGAAGCAGCCTCAATATTCCAAAGATCTGAGTTCTTTATATCTGAATTTAAATAAATTTACTCAGTTTTGTTTATATTAATATAAAAAAGAACCTTAAATCTCTGAATACATATCAACTGAAGGGAGAACAAAAGTTGTATGGATATATGAGGGTGGCAGGAGCTATATTAAGATTGAAACTGTTGTACTTTTTGTTGTTGTTGTATAATGTTCACAGAAGAATATTTCTTCTGATTTCCTTCCTAGAACTATTTTCTTACACAATATAAATATTCGTCTGGTATAATTTTCCCTTCCTTGTGTTTCATCCCATCAAATGGATAAACCAACAGAGAGAATGAAAGAAAGGAAAGGAGGATGGAAGGAAGGTAATGAGAAAAAATAAGAGAGGGTAGGACAAGACACAAGTGGCCCCGACAACATCTAAAATTCTTAGAAAAAAGAAAATTAGTAAACTTTCACTTAACATCTTAAGAGAGCTTTACTACAGTTCTTAGCAAAGCTTCCAAATACCAGATCTTTTCCTTTGTGTTGCAAACTGTGTGTGCACCCTACCCCCTTCCATCAGACTAACCCAGGGAAACAGGGATTTCAAACTCAAGGTATACTTATCCAAATCAGGAGAATGGGAATAACAAGATCAGAAATAAGCCCCAAAGGCCTTCTGCAATCATGAAACACATTGGCATAAATGATACAATCAAAAGTAGAAATTATCAAGGGGGAATTAGTGTTTAATGGGTATGATATGTCAGTGTTATAAGATGAAAAAGTTCTGGAGATCTGTTGCACGACAATGTGAATGTACTTAACACTACTGGACTGTATACTTTAAGATTATGAAGATGATAATTTTTTTTTTTTTTTTTTTTTTTACTACAGAAATGATCACTTGGAGGCATAACCCAGAAGGGCTACTGAGAGGGTAGAGATGGAGAACTGTTGGAGGTGTAGCTATAGCAGTAGCAACCAGAATGCATGGACACCTATTATTTGATGCTGGGCAAGAGCATGAGAATGACTTCACATGCAATCACTTTATCTGCTGCCATACCATCCTTAATCAATCAGTAGTAACTAATAGAGTACTCTTTCTATTCTTGCCATGTGATACCCTCGTCTCCATGGGACTCTAGAGATTCCTCACCAAGAAGGCCCTCATCAGACATGCTCCTTGAACCCTGGACTTCCCAGCCTCCAAAACAGCAAGAAATAAATTCTGTTTCTTTATAAATTATAAAAAAATAATAATAAGAAGAAATAACTAACAACTTAGTGTTTAATACACAGAGCAATTGGATGAATAAATGAACTGATGAATGAATGAATGCACAGCACTTATTAGGGGCCTACTATGGGTCCAGCACTGGTACAGACCACCACTTCTGCTCCTGGTTTGGCAGTAGAGAAGAAGGAAAAAGTTGTGCTGAAGGAAAGGGGTCCTCCAGCTAGCATAAAAGTGATATAGGACATTGCTGTCTCCACCAAAACAGTACTTATAATGGCTGTGAAGTTAAAAGCAAAAATAAGTTAGGTCTTCATTGCTGCTCTTTTCAAAGTGACTACTGCCATGCCAAACAAGTTTCAGTTGTAGAACCAAGAGAAGGTTTTGTGGTAGATTACAAAACCAGATTAAATTTACTCTTTGTTTAGGAGCAACTGTTTCACCCACTGTCCCAGAAAGGGCCTGTTTATTTAACTTTTATCAACACATCTCTGGGCCACCTGTACCTTCCCCTTAAAACCTTGGGGTTTTCTACCCTTTCACACACTTACATCATTTTCTCTTTCCATTCTCTCTTTCTCTCTCTGCAGAACATCACATATAATTTTGTTCTCACTCAGTCTTCTTGACAGGTCAAAATTCTCCTCCTGTCAACAATAAAAAAATTAGGATTAGAATCACATATTGAGGGCTGGCCTGGTGGCGCACTTGGTAGAGTGTGGCGCTTGGGAGTGTGGCGGTGCTCCCGCCGAGGGTTTGGATCCCATATAGAGACTGGTCCGCTCACTGGTTGAGCGCGGTGTGGGCGTGACACTGAGGGTTGCGATCCCGTTGCCAGTCATGGTACGGGCGTGACACCGAGGGTTGAGATCCCGTTACCGGTCACGAAAAAAAGACAAAAAGGGGGAAAAAAAAAAAAAAAAAAGAATCACATATTGCAATCTGGGTCCAAGGTGGGAGATTATAGAAGATCTACCTTTTAAAAGGGGTGGGACTGAGGTGGGGCAGAAGGGAACTGGGAGGAAGGAATGGTATTATGGATAGAGTGTTGACTGACAGAAAAGTGACTTAACAAAATGCCAGTTTCTTTTGGTTTAGCTGGGAGTATAAATAACCAAAGGGAGAAAAAGTAAGCTTAGGGAAAGCCTCAAGACTGACTTAGAATTAGGGATAAATGGAGCCTTGTTTAATCCCACCCAAACATATTCTCACAATATATATAATCCCACAATCATATTTGTTTTGAATAAACACCTCATGCAAAGAAGCTTGAAGCACTTAGGTTTAGGTTGGTGTGACTCCCTCCTATCGTGGGACAGGCATCTGGGACTCAGGTTACTCTGAAGAAGAAGGAACTCGGGCAGACATTTGTGTGAGGCTACAAAGAACCAAGACTGTGGTCTTGAGCTTCACAGCATGATGTGTTGACCTAGCTAGCTTCATGCTTCAATGCTTCCCATCTCCTACCAGCATATGTACACATGCGCATACCTCACAAACACGCTTAAGCTAATCCTACTAGTTGTGGTTTTGTTCCAAGATTTTTTATTTGAATGTTGGTGCCCAAACTGCTATGCCGACCCTGAGATAGTAATGCAAGAGGGGGCTACTCGATGACAGTGCTGACTGCAGATTCCTTGCTCCCCATCCCCATTGGCTCTTGCTGGCTCTTCTGGTCCTACTTCGCTTCCTCAAAAGGCAGAAATAAGAAAGGACTATCTGAGTCTGCACAGAAACCCACTTAATGATTACAAAAACCTTCCCTGAAACCCATGGCTGAGCTAAGGTTTAAATTTCCAGGGACCCCCTGGCTGGTTTCTGGCTTCACACTACTGCCCTCCTCTTTTTAGTGGAAAGATAAATTTCTTTCCTTAACAGGGGTGTAAAATCTTCTGGGCTTGGTCTAAGAACCACAAACCTTCACACCCCTTGCTTTCCTGGGCCCTTTATCTCTTGTCACCTACCAGTGCAGCAGCCCTGAGTTGCCTGATCTGTTTGTGGAGTTGCTGACACTCTTTGTACTTCTCTAAGAAGCAGGCCTTCCCAGCCTCTACCTTTGCCTTTAGGCGTCCCACCTCTTGTACTAACTGCTCCTCCACTGCCATTTTCTTGTTTCTAGGCTCCTGAAGTATAAAATACATAGTCCTCATGGTTAGAGGCCTTTTGGAATAAAGAGCTGCTATCAGCCAGATGGGGAGCTCCTAGGTCTTAAAAAATATTCCATGAAAACCAAGGACATCCATACCTGTCACAAGAAAGTTCAAACTTTTGAATGACTATAGATTATTTAAACCAGTAATTTCTTTGCTACATCAGAGGTCACAAACTCGAATGTGCCTATAAGAGTCAGGCAAGTAATGTAATTGAATAAAGGAGTCGAGTGCAACAAAACAGTGAAGACTACAGCTAAATGGAGAACACATAACCCTTCTAGAGGGCGTAGTAGCTACTCAGCTCTAAATATTGCTGCAGTGTGGGAATGTGGACTTAATGTTGCCAGATTTTCCAATTTTTCAAAGAAAGCTGGAAATATAAATTTCTTATGGGAAATATTCCCATTTTTAAATGTTGGTAATTAATTTCTTTTTTTTTTTTTTTTTTTGCGACCAGTAAGGTGATCGCAACCCTTGGCTCGGTGTGGTCCGCACCACACTCAGCCAGTGAGCGCACCGGCCATCCCTATATAGGATCCAAACCCACAGCCTCGGCGCTACCAGTGCTGCACTCTCCCGAGTGAGCCACGGGGCCGGCGGTAATTAATTTCTTAAAACATTTCTGTGGCCTGAACTTGACCCATTACCTAGCGATTTGCAAACTTTCTACTCTTTACTGTATCATGTTAAAGCATATAGTATCATATATAGTAAGTACTCAATAACTGACTGAATAATGATTGGATGATGCATATATGTGAGTTACAATCTCAATAGTTGGGTATCCCTTAGATACCAGGATTTCTCAAGCCCACAGAGCAATTCAGAAAATGGGGCTTCCAGGCATCTGTCAGCACCATGAAGCCTCTTTACCATCAATATATTACTGGAACTTATTAGTCAATTAGGCTTTCATTATTATATTACTGTAGCTCAGAATAATTTATAATAATGATAACTGCTAATATATTAGTTATACCAAAATTTGCTTTGAGTGCGATATTCTCCCATTATAGAGTTCTTTATAACCAATAAATAGTCTGCCTCCAGTAACTCTATAAGGCAGGGGTTATTCTGTGCAATTCCCAGTTCAAGGATCTATTTACTACAACCTGTTATAAAGTTTAACTTTCAATATTTCTTTATCATTCATCACGCATTAGAAATGTCCACCTCCGGGCCGGCCTGTGGCTCACTTCGGAGAGTGCGGTGCTGATAACACCAAGGCCACGGGTTCGGATCCTATATAGGGATGGCCGGTTGGCTCACTGGCTGAGCGTGGTGCTGACAACACCAAGCCAAGGGTTGAGATCCCCTTATCGGTCATCTTTATATTGGGAAAAAAAAAAAAGAAATGTTCACCTCCACTAAACATTTTGTAAATGGCATATTCTCTGTCCTTTTAGGTAGAAAGCAAAATATCCAGAGGTGAATGCTATTCCAATATGTCTTGTTTATCCTCTCCATCACCTGAAAATAACACCGTCCCCCTTCCTTTCTTTAGGGTCCCTCCCACATAGCCATTCAAAGATAGACATGCCGTTAACTCCTGTTGTTTCTTTGTTTCGGTTGTTTGTTTCTGCTTCATCTCCTCTACTGTCTGCTCGAGCTTCTTCTGGTTCTCCCTCTGCACAAAAACAGATTTCAGTACTGCTGTTAGGAAAACACACATATGCACCAGGAAAGGGGCTGCTGAGCTAGTGAGCGAGCAGGATGCAGAGGGAGAAGCAAGTCTTCTTATTAGTTATTGAGTAAAGCCATGAGGTGTCTTGTTTCAGATGGCTTCCTCTGAGACCTTTCCGAGAGCCAGTGACATCCAGTTATATGACAAAGAAAGAACAATGTATATTTTCTTACAAATGCCTAAAAATGTTATTTTCTTCCATGACTTTACCTGTTCAGTTAAACTGAGAAAGAGCTGGCCATTTTCCTTTTTCAGATGCTCCAACTGCTCTATCTTATCTTGATCTTCCTGAATAAGCTTCTCCATTTCTTTCTCTCGAGTTGACAGCTGGGCCTAAAGCAAAAATAGTGAATATAACCAAGATATAAAAGAAGGAAAACTAGACAGGAACAATGCTTTTAAAGTACAGTAACATAAAGAGAGATATTTCTCTAGCAACTCCCAAATGCCAAATATCCCTTAGAACTCCTTCACTTTTGAGCTCTACCTTATACCATATGAATCTAACTACTCAACTGAGTAAATTACACCATTGAGGCCAAATAAAACATTTCTGTGGGCTGAACTTAACCTATGACCTACTGATTTGCAAAGTTTGTTCTACTCTTTACTACATGATGCTAAAGTATACAGTATCTAACATATAGTAGGTACTCAATAATTGACTAAATAATGATTGACTGGATGATGCATATATGATATGAGTTGCAATCCCAATAGTTGTAAGGCACAGCTTCCTAAAAATGAGAGTAGTTCTGCTATCTGCTTATATGCCAGGCTTTTTTTTTTTTTTTTTTTTTTTTTTTTTTTTTTTCCGTGTCCGGCAACGGATC